TTCTTCTTTGACTTTTAGTTTTGCATGATCCTGAAAGAAATTAAATGAGTACAGATTAATAAACACAATCTCTCTTGTTAAGGTCACCAACAATGGTTTGTCACAAGGATCAGTTTACCTTACTACTCTGCCATATTTTAAGTAGCAGACAAGTATCATCAAATATATTCTACTACTAATGATGAGCTGAACAAGGTAAATCTGAAAATCTAGTTTCAGAGGGGGTAAAGTCATGAAGGATGTGAAAGAAGATGAGTTGCACAAACTGAAGCTGCTGAAATATTGAGTATAATCAATATGTTTTATTTTCAGCTGTGGACAGAACTGATATTTCTGACACAATCTTTAAGTTCTAAGCTATTTATGCACAGGAGAGATTAATAAAATGGAGTAAGTTTATCAATAAGGGATGATGAGAGGCTTTCAGGGCTGGAGCACATACCACATAAGAAGATAAGGGTACTGTGTTTGCTATCAAGAAGATAGTTCTAAACATACTTCACTTTTTTCAATTTGCAGTCTGTCCCTGTATATGGACAATTTTGTGTTGTGTCACTTGTGTTCTTTACTCCCAGAAACAATCTTTTGTGCTGGTCCTCCAAGGACCAGAAGATAAAATTCAGACTATAAGCATGTTATGGTGGAGGTTATTGTTTTCCTGCAAAAATACAAAATAACTAGCAGACTAGCTTTAGTTATAAGCAAGCAAGAGGTTGCATAGACAGGTGACTGCCAAGGACAGCAAGGCCACCGTTGTCTATCTATAAAAGAAAAAACCCCTTGATCAATGCTTATTTTGCCACTAAGGCATAGTGGACATTGTTCTGGGTTTGTCAGCTCCTCCTTTGATTTAAAAGTCACCTTGCCCTTACTGAATATTCCAAACTTTATCACAATCCCACAAATTTTTGGGGTGTTCCTAACTCCTAAACTTACCTCCCCAGAGATCCCAGTGACCCATGTCAGGTCACTTTCTCTGCTGCCTCCAAATGAACTGCTTTTTTATCATGTCACTATGGAAGACTTTGGACCCACTCAACAGCCTTTTCACCCTTGTCACTCTCACCTCTGAACCCTGGGCCTGACTTTTACTACACCCAAGGGCAAGGTCACAGTTTTGTCGTTACCCTTGAGATGACAAACTTAAACTTAAACTTTGCTTGTGCCACTGAGGAGCACTGAGCTGATTTTAAGTGCCTTATAAACATTCTAGGGGATATCTTAAGGGCACGGGCAACAATGAAAAAACAAGTTGTCACCAGGTTTGCTGCAATCATATTGCTTGCTTAAATATTCACAAAGCTCAATATTCCAGGGACACTTGTGACACTTTCTCATTTTATGAAATCTCCTGTGAAGCTCAGCTTTGTTCGTACACAAATTGGAAGATGTGAAGACCATCAGAGCCAATCTGTGATTTGTACTGGAACAAATCTCTGTGAACAAGTATGTTGCAGTTAGCTGCTAAAAATAAAACTCTTGAGGGACATTACACTTAGCAGTCAAAATTAACACCTACTCCAAAGCTCCTAGATAACTGCAGTCTGTGGAAAAAATATAGTTAAGTAAAAGGCTGTAGCATCCTCTAATGCCTGAAGCTATCAGTTAAGTGTATGTTAAAGGATACAAAAAACTGTAGCAATGGAATATTTTGTTTCAGATATCAAAAAATTTTTTCTGTCTGACTCCTACACAATGTATAATTGTGAAATATCCTGTAGGAAAGCATACTAGAAACCAACACAGGAACAAAAGTTGCAAGTAATTTGGACAGTAGCGATTGATATTTGGGCAGCTAGCAGGCTTCAGAATGTTGTTACTCTGTTTCAAAGAAATATTTTTTGCCATCAGCAGCAATGCTTCCTTAACATAAAAACCTTTGCTGTGTATAAAGTATTACAAAAGCAATTTGTACAACAAATCCCAAAGCCTTTCCCTTGCTTTCCTTTTACAAGGCCTAAATTTTCTGATCTTAACTTCACAGAAGGCTGCTCAATTTGCACCACAACTTGCCACTGCAGGATTTTGCCAGTTTCCACCAGGTCATGCTTCTGATTCAGTTAGGTGAATGGTTCAACAGTATGTGAAATCTAAATTTGCAAACTAGCATTGAGGCTACTCTACCTAAAAGACTGAGATAGTTTCCGAGGAGGGTGGCCTGTTGGATGAATCCAAGTTGGGAAGTAGCCAAGCTCTTTAGGAGGATGAAGGGAATGGAGAGCCAAGGAAATATTAAAGGGTCATGAAGGCAGGGGAGATAAGGGTTATTGGACGGTCACAGGAAGGGAGCATCAGAAAGTTCAGCTCCATTTCAGGGAACTTCTGAACTTTGCAAGGTTTTATTTATATCCTATTTATTGATTTATGTCAAAACTATAATTTCTGTTACCTGAGAGGATTCTTAAAGCAACAGTGGACACCGAACTGCCTGCCACATGAAGAATTTTAGATGACTAAATCTGTTACCATTATAAATGAATCAATCAATAAAAGATACTATAAACAACCTATTAAAAATATAACCTATTGTTGAATTTCTAAGTTTGCTATTGTAAAAACTTCAGAAGAGAATTATGCATTACACCATTTGGTCTCTATTTGTTCCTGCCAAGCTGACCATAATTGTTTGGAAACTTCCTATAAATTTAGTGTAAAATGACAAGACACAAGAACAGTTAAAATCTTTTCTCAAGCTCAGTGGTAAAGATATGGAAGTAAATCAGGATTGGAATTTGATATTCCTTTTCAAAACATAAAACTTTCTTAGTTTTTTCTTTTAAAAATGTTGAAACATATTATTTAATAAATTGGGAAGATATAATTGATCATTTCATATAGCTGTGGGAAAACATGTGATTCCAGTGAGTACAATACTTAAAAAACAATCTCATGAATTGCAGTGACAGGGCACTTGCAACTAATGGATGGGTTCAATTTAATTAAAAGCAAGTGAAATACTACAGTTAGTTCAGCATCAGGATGACAGCTTCACTTTATTTTTTATCCAAAATAGAACAGTATGACAAAGAGTGCAAATGGCTCAGGATATCTCTTATCTTCTTGTCCTGAAGAGGGAACTGGAACCCCCAAAACAGTTTTTAAGCTTATCCTAACCAGAAATCACAACAATTGCATTATTATCCAGCAGTAATGCTGCCTTCTTTGAGCTGCCATGTGTGATTCAACCTATGCAGGCAAGAGGAAATTTATTCCCTGAAATGGCCTTCTTTATGTCTTCTTTCATGTCAGTGTTGGAACTTGGAAGCAAAGTTGACACATATGTTTGCTATTTCCTGTATGCAGCCCGTTTCTGGAGAGTGACCCTCTCTGTTTTTCATCTCTCTCGATTCTCTCATGTAAACAATTCCTCAAAACCCATTATAAGGTCATTTTATAAGTCTGGATTCCTTGACTGAATTGAACAAAACATACTTGAGCTAGCTGGGGGATTAAATTGGCTGTTTCCAATGAATCCTCAACACTACTGCTTTTGACTTGGTTAGAATTCCACATGGAGACCTCTCTGTTGAAAAAAATAGAGTTTACCGTGTGGAAGAACACATTGCATGAAGCCTACTGCTTCCAGGACACAACCATGCTTATTCAATGAACAAAATATAGGACCTATTGTGACAACCTGGAAATCTCTTTAGGTACAGTTTATGAATGCCAACTGATAGCACGGTCTCTTCATGTGCAGCTATATCAGGCTGTAAACTCTTTTAAAACAATATGAATGGCTTACTGTCGCTGTTCTGAACTGCCAGCACAGACAGGGACAAGATAAATCCTTGCACCAGATAAACACAGAGCTAAAACAAATGTCACCGAGCTTTCATGCCTATACATCTAAAAGAAATACCCTTTGGATGTGCTTCACTCCTCCTATAAGGACAGAAAATTTTCATGTCCAGATTTAGGAGGAAGGGCCACAAACAAGAAGAATAAATAGTGGGAACAAATGATTCCTTTATTATTTTTTAAATAATGCTGGATAAAGCTATGAAAAGGATTTATATTAAGTAGTTGCTGGAGGTAGGAGGGGCTTACAGTTATGAGAATGTCTGCATAGGTTGCTCTGCCTGAGCATGTATATGATAGGCCACAGAGATACATTAAATAGGGGGAGAAACATATGGCTCCAAAATGGTGTCATAGAATCATAGAATCACAGAATAGTTTTAGTTGGAAGAGACCTTCAGGATCATCAAGTCCAACCTTTGTCCTAGCCCTATTAACTTCACTAAACCATGTCCCTGTCTCTTAGACACCTCCAGAGATGGTGACTCAACCACCTCCCTGGGCAGCCTGTTCCAATGCCTGACAACTCTCTCAGTAAAGAAATTCGTCCTAATATCTAACCTGAACCTCCCCTGGCACAACTTCAGGCCGTTTCCTTTGTCCTATCACTCTCCACTAGGAAGAATAGACCAACTCCCGTCTAACTACAACCTCCTTTCAGGCAGTTGTAGAGAGCAATAATGTGTCCTCTTCTCCAGGCTAAACAGCCCCAGATCCCTCAGCCGTTCATCACAGGACACATGCTCCAAATCCTGTACTAGATTGGTAGCCTGCCTCTGTACCCTCTCCAGCACCTCAATGTCCTTCTTGCAGTGTCATCCAGATAAAACAGTGTGGTGGAAGCCTAGCTATGGGTTCAGGCTGTCAGTGTCAAAAAAGAATAAACTAATTTTAGCTTGCAAAAAGATACTGGTTAATCCAGTATCTTGGATTCAAGAGTACTTGGCTGTATAAGCAGTTATTTATGCAAACCTATGCTTCCCTGAGAAGCTCTCCCTTTGTTTGCCTTCAGTACTACACTCAATGTTGTGTACTCATTTTGCCTGTTCTTCAGTCAGTGCCTGGAGTCATAATCCTTGTGTTTGTGACATCATAGTTGCTGCAATGTGCATCATTTAGTAAAGATAATTCATGTAAACTGGACTAAATTCACAAGTATCCTAAAAGAAAACTTATTTCAATTGTAACACCTAACTTTACTGTTACATGGATTACAAATGTCTCAAAGAGCTTCGAAGTTCTTTGAAAGCTTATAGTAACAACAAGTAACAACTTCTTGCACTACAGTAGTACCCAGAGATCTTGGTTTCTCAATCTGGGCTGGACTGTGTAAAAAGGAGAAAAACCTATTCTAAGAGGACAAAAGATATAGAAAGAGAGAGATTAAGCAAACTGCTGAGGATAACACAGTAAATCAAAATTAGTAGAAAATTAATTTTCTAATGCCCCAACACTAAACCAGTCTGGTTACAGGATCTTTGACGCACAACTTTGGAGTCAGCATAAAGGTAAGCCTTTTTTTCTCACTTGTACTTAGTTTTCATTACACTTACATATAAAAGAGGTGTCAGAAAGGACCAAACTGACATCTTGCGCTGAGTACCAAAAAGCCTTGCTTCAGGCTCTTTCCAAATGAAATGTTTTCTATGAGGCTTCTTGTTGTTCTTTAAGTGAAAACAAATGAAATGAAACCATCATCTTAAGCTGTTTTTTCTCCTGTGTTAAATGTTGTTTTGTACTGTTCAATTATAAATAATTTTAGAAATCTGTTAAAATAAAGTACTCAAACATAGGTTGGACAAAAATATTGGGTAATTTGTACTATCTTACTGTTGGATCTGCTTTTCACTGAAAGATAAAAGGAAAAAAAAAAAGCATTCTTATGTTTCCAACAGTATTTTTAGCAAATTAACCACATATTAAAACCCTCACATTTTTCCAGCTCAGCACTGCATTTTCTCCACAGTTCCTGGCTGGAGAAGTCTCATTTGATTACTCCTAGAGACTGATCTTTTCCTTCAGTCATATGGAAAGAATAATCTATTATTTGATTAGACATAAAGGCCACTGAGATGTAAGAAATCCATAGATTTCTAAGTTAGGATGATTTATCTTGCCATAGCTGAGCACTATCCATGCATCCTCCTATCTCGAAAAACGATTTGCAAGGTCTCAACACACAAGTATTGGTGTATAACCCCCACTTCTGGCAGCTTACAGACTTTGTAAGTCTGTGAAATCTAACATCACAGCAGCCTGGCTTAAGTGTCTTATGAGTAATGCACACTCAGAAACATCCAAGTATGAAGCTTATTTGATCAGAGGATCAGCTGCATATATAGCAGTACCTTTTCCCCTATACTATCTGCAGCACAGAGGCTGGTGGTTATGCCTTCATTAAACATGGATGCCATCAGCTAAAAGGTGAGAATACTCAAAACCAAATGTACCCGGTTAAAGAGGCACTGGTTTCTCGTGCATACAAATGGGCTAAAACTGTCTGGAAGTTTTCTAAAAAAACCCCATTTTTCCCATTGTTTGAAGTGTCAGTTAGATGAATCTAAAACTTCCTTCAAAGATGTACATGTATTAGTTACACAAGAATAAGAAATCACTATTATGTATGTGTGTGCAAAGAATGTAAGAGAATCATAGAAATCACAGAATCATAGAATCAAAGGACAACTAGAGATCACCTACTCCAACGCTCCTGCCAAAGCAGGATCATTTAGGTCAGGCCACATGGGAACACATCCAGGCAGGTTTTGAATGTCTCCAGAGGAGACTCCACAACGTCTCTGGGCAGCCTGTGCCAGTGCTCTGTCACCCTCACAGTAAAGAATTTTCTCCTCCTGTTGAGGCAGAACTTCCTGTGTTCTAACTTAATCCCATTATTCCTTGTCCTATTACTGGGAACCACTGAAAAGAGACTGCCTTCTTCCTCTTGACACCCATTCCTTAGATAGTTTTACACATTGATAAGATCACCTCTCAGCCTTTTCTTTGCAAGACTAAACAGCCTCAGTTTTCTCAGTTTTTCTTCACAGAAGAGATGTTCAAGTTCCTTGATCATCCTCATAGCTCTCTGTTGGACTCTCTCCAGTAGAACTCTGACTCTCTTGAATTAGGGAGCCCAAAACTGGACACAGTATTCCAGGTGTGGTCTCACCAGGGCAGGGTAGAGAGTGAGGAGAACCTCCCTAATGCACTGCAGGATCCCATTGGCCCTCTTGGCCACAAAGGCACACTGCTGTCCCATGGACAACTCACTGTCCACTAGGACTCCAAGGTCTTTCTCCACAGGGCTGCTTTCCAGCAGGATGACCCCTAAACTGTACTGATGCCTGGTGTTATTGTTTTCCCCCCCCCCCCCCCGGACTATACACTTGTCCTTACTGAACTTCATGAGGTTCACATTTGCCCAGCTCTCCAGCCTGCCTAGATCTCATTGGGTAGTAGCACATTGTTCTGGTGTGCCAGTTAGCCACCCAACCCCCAGCCCTGCCCCAGTTTTGTAACATCAGTGACCCTCATCCAGGTCGCTGATGTAGATACTGAACAAAACTAGACCCAGTACTGATCCCTGGGGAACACCACTGATCACAGGCCTCCAACTTGACTCTGTGCCGCTGAGCACAACCCTCTGAACTCTGCTGCTGAGCTAGTTCACAATCCACTTCACAGGCCAGTCAGCGGTCCCACATTTCTTGACTTTATCTATGAGGATGTTATGGGGGACAGTGTCAAAATCCTTACTGAAGTTGAGGTATATGACATGCATTGCTCTCCCTTCCTAAACCCATTTGATAGAGGGATATCAGATTAGTCAAGCAAGATTTCCTCTTAGTAAAACCATGGTGGCTGCTTCTGATAATCTTATTTTCTTCCATTTGGTTAGAGATGCCCTTCAGAATGAGCTGCTCCATCACCTTTCCAGGGATGGAGGTGAGGCCGACTGGTTTGTAGTTGCCTAAATCCTCCTTCTTGCTCTTTTGAAGACTGGAGTGACATTGGCTTTCTTCCAGTCCTGACACATCTCCCATTCTCTATGATTTTTCAGAAACTATGGAGAGGGGCTCAGCAACAAGATCAACCAGCTACCTCAGCACACGTGGATGCACCTCATCAGAGCCCATGGATTTGTGCATTTTCAGTTGCTCCAAGTGGTCTCTAACCCAGTCCTCACTGACTAGTAGAGAGTCTTCCTCACTCCAGTTTTGTTCCCTTACTTCCAGTGACTGGGATTCCTGAGGGCTAGTTTTAGGAGAAAAGAAGGCATGCCACAATTCTGCCATCCCTGCATCCTCTGTTATCATATCTTCCACGTCATTTAGCAATGGACCCACTTTTTTCCTATTCTCACTTTTCTCATTGATGTATTTGACAAAGTTATTGTGTTCTTTCACCTCCCTAGCCAGATTAAGTTCCAAGAGAGCCTTAGTCTTTCTTGTTGAGTCTCTACATATTCTGGCAGCATTTCTATAATCCTCCCAATTAACCAGACCCTTTTTCCACATGTTGTAAACTTCCCTCTTCCATTTGAGTTTTTCCAGGTGCTTCTTGCTTATCTCCTGCCTCCTCTACTCAAATGAATGAGCTTTCTGTATGACTCTGATAAAAACTATTTAGGGTGTTCACTGTGACAAAAGAATCAACTAGTCAAAGGTTTTTGTAATTGTCCTCTGAGCTTTTAAAATGTCCACATCTTTCTTTGAAACTGATTCTCTTCCCATCTTTAGGGGTGTCGAGGATTGGGGCTGGGCCGGGCACTGAACACTGACAGACTCTCTATAACCTCCTCTGCCTCCCCCAAAACAGGAAGAGAAACGGAATAAAGCAGAGTGACTTACATATATTGGAAAAGAAAACTAAAAGAGCTGTAAGAAAAGAGCAGTAGAAATAATAGGGAAATAATAAAAATAGGGAACTATATATAAATATATACAAATCTGTTATCGAACCCAGCTCCTCTCTGATAGCAATCCCTACTGGTGCTGCAGAGCAGATGGCACCGGGGAAGCCCCAGGCTCAGTGACAGAGGGGAGCTGGGTATGGGAGCTGGATTCAGGAACTCAGGATTGGGATCAAAGGCAGAAGATCAGATGGAGTGCCCCCTGGATGCCGTCCATTGAAGAAGAGACAAAATGAGGCCTAAATCCTTGTGATCTCTCAGTTTTATACTGA